CTGATTTTAAATGAACGAAGACAATTGACAAGTGAAGGAATGCGTGCTTGATTTCTTTCTGGCCTATTGTCTGAGTTCTGCTGGGTGTCTGATGCGTGGTACATGAGGGGGCTGTGGTCCTCCACGCCATCGCGGGCGGCCTTCATCATGTCCAGCAGGTGGGCCAGCCCCTTTTGTTGGTTTCTTTTGTATCCTTCCAGTGTTTCTTTGATCTCGGTCATGTAGCAGGGCCCTTCCTTAAGGGAACCTGGCTCGCTTTCATTCAGGGGACTCTGGGCTGAGCACTGGCTCGAGTCTGGGAATCTGGGGATTGACTGAGGAGCCATGACTCTTTCGTGATTCAAATCAGGCTTCTGTACACTGGCCTGGAGCCCTTTTGCTTAGGCCTTCAGAAGACTACCTGCCTATTTCAGTTCTAAGATCACTGTGATCAACTAGCCAGCACGAAGGATCTCTGCCAGGGAGACTGACGTGATCCCTGCTTTGGCTGTGCCATCCCATGCATGGCACATCCACCTTTTCTTTGGTGAGTAAGTGCTGCCACTTTGGAATCTGCCACACCCACTGGACTTAGGAGTTCCTGCTGGATGATACCATTCCCACTGTCATCCTGGCCCACAGAAACTGAGATATGCTTGTTGTTTTAAACTGCTAGGTTTGGGGATAATTTGTTAACACAGTATAGATAACTAATACACTTAGGCCGGGCACGGTGGCTGACACCTGTAATCCCAGCACTTTGGGAGGCCGAGGCGGGCAGATCATGAGGTTAGGAGATTGAGACCATCCTGGCTAACATGGTGAAACCCCATCTCTACTAAAAATACAAAAATTAGCCGGGCGTGGTGGCGGGCGCCTGTAGTCCCAGCTACTCGGGACGCTGAGCGCAGGAGAATGGTGTGAACGCCAGGAGGCAGAGCCTTGTGAGTGAGGCACGCGGTACTGGCGCCACTGGCACTCAGCCTGGGCGACAGAGCGAAACTGCGTCTCGAAAAAAACAAAAAAAAAGAAAGCATAATACATTATGTGTCCTATTTGCTTACTTCTTTATGTACTATACGGCAACATTGAACGATATTCTTAATTTCTACGGCCTCTGTTCACAAAAACCTACGGCAGTTGGCTGGGTGGCAGGAAGAGGAGAAGCTCACCTGCAGGGAAGTGCTGTTCTCAGAGAACGGGGAGCTGAAGAAGGCGTTGATGGTGTCCAGCACGACGCTCAGCACGTACTTCTCCAGGGCGGGGTCAGCCACGCGCTTCTCACGCTTGCTGCAGACCTGAGGCAAGGGAGAGGGATGCCTGGGGGGGTCCTCACATGGGGCCCCTCCACTCCCACCCCTCCTGGGGGGCTTTGCCCACACCCCACACGGGGACAGACCCGCGCCATGTCCAGGGTGAAGTTCTCAAAGAGCGTCCAGATGTGGTTGCTGGTGTAGATCTCCTTCATCTCCACCTCCGTGTCCACATAGCAGTGGTTCACGAAGTTCACATAGGCCATTTTCACCTGGGCAGCGGGCGGGAGGTCAGGGGCGTGAGCAGGCCGCCTGGCTGGGCTGTCCCTGCCACATTGCTCCTGTCCCCTGGCCTCCCAGTTCCTGCCCAATTCCCTGGCTTGGCTTTGCCCACTCTTCCTGTCCCGTGGCTTTACCCGCCCCTTCGCCCCATCTCCAGCCGTCTTGCCCAGTCCCCCAATCCCCACCTCAGTGATGCAGTCCTCATGCGTCACCACAGACACCACGTCCTCCAGCGGCAGCAGGGAGGTGCACTTGATCTCAGTGTAGACGTTTTTGCCCTCGGCGCAGGCAGCCAGCAGGTCCACCAGGGAAATGTGGTACATGAGGGGGCTGTGGTCCTCCACGCCATCGCGGGCGGCCTTCATCATGTCCAGCAGGTGGGCCAGCGATGCCTTATCGTTGTAGAACACGACCACATCGTCACCTGCATTGGTCAGCTGCGGGCAGGAGGGGGCACGTGTCTCACACTCTTGGTCCAGCAGGCCCTGGGCTCTCCTCTCCTTTGCTTACCAGGGGGAAACTGGGACTCTGACCACAGAGTCCCACCTGAAATCAGGAAATCCTCCCCTGGCTGGGATTTGGGGGTTCCCCAGCTGATGTCTCAGGCTCTCTGCCAGCAGAGATACTGACCCCAGGACCCAGAAAGTCCCTGCTTCTCCCCACTGGAAAGAAGTCCCATAGGGGTCATCTCAGAGGCAGCTTCCTCCAGGAAGCTCTCGCTAATCCTGTCCTGCTCACCCCCTCCCTCCCCTGGGCTCCCACAGCGGTTATTTAAACCCTCCTCACTGAGCACACACCACATCCCTCTCGTGCCAGCGACTGCATTATTCACAGTAACATAATAATAGCAATTAATAATTAACACTGCGCAGCAGTTCCAGCACATCGTGTCTTGTTTATGATGTCCTAATCTCCCTTCAGTGTTTGCTCCTTTCTCCCCCTGCCGCCTACACTGTCAGATGCTCAGGGGCAGGGACCACGTCTGTTCCAGATTTAGACCTAGCCCTTTATCCTTCATGCCTTCACTCAACGGGTGTCTGTTGAGAACCTACTATGCGCCACACACTGGGGCCCTCGCAATGCACACAAACGATGGGGTCCCTGCCTGTGCCCCCCAGGAGCTGGCACTCAGCTGATGTCCCCCGTGCACGTACAATCCGTGGCACATAGCGGGTGCTTCCTGATTTTAAATGAACGAAGACAATTGACAAGTGAAGGAATGCGTGCTTGATTTCTTTCTGGCCTATTGTCTGAGTTCTGCTGGGTGTCTGATGCTGCTGGGACCCTGTTTGCGTTCTATCAGGTCCATAGCCTGAGTTCTACCACATCTGCAGCCTCACCTCTCCCTCTGCGTCCCCTCCATGGTCAGCAGCTGAATGTTCCTTTTGTGACCCACCGTCTGACTTCTCTAACTCTGCAGCCTTCCCGCCAAGCCTCTGCTCTGGGCCCCCACCCCAAGATCCCTGAGCACCCCTCAGCCCCGCCCTCACCTCAGTCATGATCATGTCCTGGCACTTCTTGACGTACTTGCCCTCAGCCTTGATGACGGTGTGCAGGAAGTCCAGGTACTGCACATGGCGCCCGTGCGTGGCCAGCAGGTGCACGAAGTGCTGCAACACGGGCTCGCTGATCTCGGAGCAGAGCTGATAGTTGTTCAGGAAGATGTGTTGCATGGTCTCTGCCTCCAGGAGCTGCAGTGGGGGGCATCTGTCAGAAAGAGTTCTGGGCCCTGCCCCCACCCTCCCACCTCCCGCCTCGTCCAGGTGCTCCCAGCCCTGCACCCTCACCCCTGGTGTGAGGAAAAGGTGCAGGTGCTTGTGCAGCAGGGCCTGGTTGCCAGGGTTCCCTGCACAGAACTTCTGCAGGAACTGGTGCGTGTAGCGTAGGATCTCCATCATCTTGGCATCACCCTGGGCACAGGAGGCAGGGAGAGGGTGTTGGGCCCACCAAGGAGGGAGGCGAGGCCCCAGCTGAGCTCTGACAGGAGCAGGGGCGTGTCGGGCTTGGGACTGGGACCATGAAGAGGCCAGGGTAAAGGGAAAGTGGGGCCCCCAGGTCAGGATGGAAACGTGTGAGGGGCGGGAGCTCAATGGCCGAGATGAGGCTGGAGTTGGGGCAAGGTGACAGGGTCACGGTCAGTGTCAGGGTGAGGCCTGGGACATACTGAGATCAAGATCAGTCATGGCAAGGGGCTGAGGGTCAAAAGGGGAGATGAGATGAAGATTGGAGTCAGGAGCCAGGGTGGGCCTGGGGACAGGTCAGCGTAAGATGTCAGGATGAGGAATCAAAACCAGGGGTCAGGACAAGGCAAGCACTGATGTCATGGGTCAAAGAGAAGTTGGGTTCAGTTAGGGTCAACGTGGGTCAAGGTAAGGAAGCTGAGGGTCAAAGGTTGAGATGAAGCTGAGATTATCAGGGTTAGGTGAGAGAGGGGGAAAAAAGGGAGTCAAGGTCAAGAATCAGCATGAGGCTGCGCTTAAATCAAGGTCAAAGGGGATTAGGATGAGGGGTAGAGGGTCAAAGGTGATACTAAGACAGGGTTCAGGGGTCAAGGCATGCCTGCAAACAAACAGGGCAGTGTAAGAGGCCAGGTGAGGATAGGAGAGGTTGCCTGCATTAGGGCCTAGCGTACGGGTGAGTTCGGGGTTCAGGGGGAAGCCGCCCCAGAGAGTCAGAGGTCAGAAGTCAGAGCTACCTTGTCGTAGGGGATCTGCAGCAGGTCCAGCATGACCTTGTGGGCATCCATGTTCTTCAGCAGCCGTTGCTGCTTCTTCCTCATTTGCTCCCCGACCCCACACATCTTATTCAGCCTTTCCAGGATCTGCAGGGGAGGCGGGTGAGCCAGAGCCCCTTCCCTACTTCTCAGGCTGCCCTCTGCCTGGCCCACCACAGACAAGTTTCAGCTGGCACCCAGGACAGGAAGGGGGAAGGAGGTCACGGGCGCTGAATCAGACCCTCGCAATAGGCCAGGGAAGCACTAAAAAACCCAATTCCACCCATAAAAGTAAATAGAACAATATGACTGCAAAATGGAATTTCATGAAATTCCTTCAGCTTTAAAATAATTCCATCTGGACCTTGGCAGGGCTGTTTTTAATGTGCAGCAAAGGCTGGAAGATGTCTATTGTGAGGGCCAGTGGCTGGCCGACGGAGAGGCACAGGAGGCCTGGCCAGCGGGAGACCCCAGGACCATTGGGGCTACAGAGCCCTACCCCGAGGACCCTTGGCCACTCACGCCCTTGACAATCTGGTAGTTCTCACTGCTTTTCTCCCCTGGTGGGTGCAGAAAGCCCTCCTCGTCCGTGGGCCGCTGGAAGCACAGAGAGGATGGAGGTCAGCCAGGCCCAGCCCTCACAGGGAGGTCTGCCCTGGCCCCCTGCAGCCCCGCTCACCTCCTTCTTGTCCTTGGCTGCGCCTGCCTCCACCTCCTCGCCCTTGCCACTGCCCTTCTTGTCCACCCACAGCTCTGACTTCTCCACCATGGTCCGCAGCCGGTCCAGCTCTGACTTGATCACCTTGTAGTTCTCCACGTCCTGCGCTGAGATCAGCAGCTGAACCTGAAGGTAGAGGATGGGCCTGGCTGGTGAGATGGGCTCCAGGTCCATGCCACTTAGAGACCTCCAGCATCTTCCCTACTCGAGGGTTCCCCTCCCAGCATCACCTGCCACCACCTGCCTCTCTCCACCAAGCCAATTCCCACTCAATGTTTCTGGCTCTGCCATAAGCCCACCACCTCCAGGAAGCCTTCCCTGATGGCCACAGGCCTCCCTGCACTGCCTGCCCTGAGCTGCCACATAACCTGGCTTCAGTTACTCACTGACTAGTGCCTCAAGTGGCTGTGGTCTGTCACTCATCCACTGAGACCCCAAACAGGCAGGGCAAAGCATAGTGGCAGCCCTGAACCCTGAAGGCCCAGGCCTGCGTCTGACTGCCACCATTCTCGCTCTGGGTCAGTGGGCAATGGAGGAAAGCTCCCTGGGCCTGGATTTCTCCCCGCTCTGGAATGGGAGGGAGAGTAGTAACCTCGCTTCAGGGCTGCTATGAGAATGCCATGCAATAATGCAAGTCCAGTGCTCAGTGCCTGGTACATGGCAGACACTTATTTTTTAAAGGCCAACACTGACCGGTATTGATATTTCACAGGGAGCTGTCGGGACTGCGTGACATCACAATAGCAAACGCCAGTCACGTCAGTGAGGGTTGTCTGCATGCTAGGCATGATTTGAAGCATTTAGCATAGGTGCACATAATAGAGTTGGCAAACTGTAAAGTGCTGTCCACATTGTAAGAAATGGCAGGCACTAAGCCAGGTCAGGAGATTCAGTCTTCACCTAGGAGCTCAGCAAGGATGAAAACCCCAAATGTGCATCCCAAGTTAACCCCTGAGCTGTAAGCTCCTTAATCATCGTTTACTGTCCCCCAGTGCCCGGTGCAGGCCTCATGCTCAGGGCCAGGGCCAGGTAGTCCCGTCACCTGCTTGAAGGTGTGCATGGCCTCCTGGCGCTGGCTGAAGTGCTTGAAGAGCAGCTGCAGGGCACCCGAGACCAGCGGCGCATAGTCATGCATGGTGAGGTGGATGAGCACGCGCAGGAACATGCGGCCGCCCTCGTCATCCACCTCCAGCATGCTGCTTGTCTTCCTGCGGACATGAGGGCGCAGGGCGCGTGGGTGAGACTGGCACGCTCCCTGCTGTCCGTGGCCGGTAAGGGGGCCCTGGCACAAGCACACTCCCCGCCACCCACTCAGCAGATGCAGGGCCAGTCTAAATGTGTTTAAAATATTGACACTTCCTCAGCAGTTTAACAGCCACTCCCCTGAATCCCCGGAGTGACCCGTGTCTCCTGGGATCTCTCAGGACTTCCCTTGATTAAGCAACTGAAGCAAGAACTCTTTTATTTATTTATTCATTTATTGAGACAGTCTTGCTCTGTCGCCCAGGATGGAATGCAGCCAGTGGCATGATCTCGGCTCACTGCAACCTCCACCTCCCGGATTCAAATAATTCTCCTGCCTCAACCTCCTGAGTAGCTGGGATTACCATTATGCGCCAACACACCTGGCTAATGTTTGTATTTTTAGTAGAGACAGGGTTTCACCATGTTGGCCAGGCTGGTCTCGAACTCCTGACCTCAAGTGATCTGCCTGCCTCGGCCTCCCTAAGTGCTGGGATTACAGGCGTGAGCCACCGCGCCCAGCCAGAAGCAAGGACTCTTAACACAGATCCCACTGCCACCATGCCAGGGATTCATGGATAGAAGCTGGGCCCATGAACAGAGATGGAGAAAACGTTACATCTTTATTTTTCCCAACCTCTAACCAAAATACAGCATTTCCTTCAATGAGGAAATATTTGTGGCACCTGTGAGTCTGTCACCAATAAATATCACAGATGTTTTCACACCACCTCAGAGTTGTTAAAATCACAAAATATCGTTTATATTCGTCGCTCCCTTGAAGTAATGGTACTAATTATACCCACTGGTGCGGCTCGCTACTTAACGTATTAGCAAAGAGGCACACATATCACTGTCACTGCTAATTTGTTTTCTCCAATATTTTGATAAGTGTCACTCCAAGCCATTGGTTCCCTTTGTCTTGTTATGTGCTTTATTTTATGAGTTTACAATCACCATTCTGAAAAGCAGTCCGTAGGCCCTGCTAGACCCAGGCATAAGCCTGGCCCCAAGATGCTAAAAGCCCCCAGTAAGCCTCCGCCTCCAGCCCCTCAGGGCTTCGGGTGGATGGGCTGCATGTCCCCACACTTCCTCCCTCCTGTGGGACTGGGGACGTTGTTCCAGCTATCCAGCTACCTGATTCAAATCCACTGCACAAGAGAGGCACACCTGCCCTGAGTAGGGGTGGAAGAATGGCGGGATGACTAGCAACCAAAGGGCCCCCGAGATCAGTGGGACTGGGGAGGCAGGGGAGGGGCTGAGCACAAAGCCCAGTGAGGGTCTGCAGAGAGAATGGCAGAGGGAAGGGCCAGCCCCCAGCCCAAGAACCCAGACCAGCCCAAGAGGGGGTATCAAGCCTCCCAACCCCACACACCCCTGCAGCTCAACCCTGGCCTCACCCCACTCCAAACATGGCCTCCGCCTGCTCCCCAATACGATCCAGGTTCATGTTGGCAGCTGTGGGGAGAGGGGCAGATGGGAGCAGGTGGTAGGCCCAGCCCAGGAAAGAGGGGAGCACAGGCAGATACTGAAACCACCCTCTTTCCTGCACTGGCTGCACAGCAGCTGCTCTGCCTGCCCCTTTCTGGGAAGGAACCAAGCAGGGGAGGAGTCACAGCCCCCTACTTCCCTGCAGGGCAGTACAAAGTGGGCAGAGATCCAGGCTGAGAGTCAGGAGATCAGGTCCTGGTCAAGCTCAGCCTCTGATTGGTTGTCACCTTGAGCAAGTCCCTGCTTTTTGGTGAGCCTCAGTTTCCCCATTTGGAAAACGAAGGGAAGGGTGCCTGCCCTTCCCCCTCACTGAGGCAATTAAATGAGACAATGGAGAGAAAAGGCCTTTGCGGACTAGAAAAAGGAGCAGGGCTTGGGAGCTGGCTCCACCCCACTGCTGTGTATCCCTGGGGAAGTCGCACAGCCTCAGCCTGAAGGCAGGGCAGGGGCTCACTGGTAGAGTCGAAGGCAGGGGCTGTGCCATCAGCCCCGCTGTCCTGCATGGGAAACACCTCCACGAACTCCTTCTTGAAGACAGACAGCAGATAGGAGATGCGGTAATCCAGGCGGACATTGAGGATGAACTGGAGAAGAGGGGAAAGAATGAGGAAAGGGTCAGGTGAGGATGGGGTGAGGACTGACCTGAGGTCAGAAGGCCCTTCCTATTTTATGGGGAGCAGGGGGCCCCCAAAAAGGCTCTAGCACTTGGGGTAGCGGGGTCCTCAGCACAGTCATTCGGGATGCTCCAGGATGTCACAGCAAAAAAAACAAGACCCCTCTCCCCAAGGAGGCCCAGGGTGCCCTCTCCCCAGCTCTTGCCCCAGTGATGGAGGACGGGGGCCTCCTCTCAGCATGAGGCAGTGAGCACCCCTGCACCCGGCCCACTCAGTCCCTCTTTCCCAGGTTAGACACTGACGGGAAGGGGAATGAAGCTCCCAGGTCCAAAACCTGACTCTTGTCCTCCTATCCTGCTCAGCCAAACAGACCCTGGATACTCACAGGAGGGGAAACTGAGGCCTGTGAGGGAGGAGGAGCGGCTACTGTGGGGCAGACGTGAGGATGCAGGGTTTGCAGACATGGGTGAGTCACACAGCCTCATGGTGCACAGGGCCTTTGGCCAAGCCCCAGGATGCAGACATGGAAGGCCCAGCCCTCAGAATGAGTCAGAAGCTCCCTCCACTCTGACTCCCCGCCAGAGGTCCCCCATGGAGGTCACTGCACTACCCTTCCTGCCCTCTGGTGACAGCAAGGCAAAAGTAAGCATCCCCATCCCTGCTCGGGGATGAGCCCCTTCCTGGGGTGTGGCTGGGGAGTCTCAGATGAGACCAGAACAGCGATGACCGCATCCACCTTGCCAAGAAATAGGTTCTCAAATCTCTAGCTCTGCTTCAAAATCCCTGTGACCCTGGGAAAGTCCCCTCCCCGCTTTTATTTTCCCCATCTGTAAAATGGGAGAATTGAGTTAGACTTCAGTGCACGTCAGAATCACCTGGAGGGTTTGTCACAACACAGCCCACAGGAACTCTCCAGTGTTCCTGACTCAGTAGGTCTAGGGTGGGGCCCGAGAATGTGCATTTCTGTTTTTCTTTCCATTTATTTATCATTATTACTATTTTTTTAATAGAGATGGGGTCTCACCCAGGCAGGTCTTGAACTCTGAGCTCAAGCAATTCTCCCATCTTGGCCTCCCCAAGTGCTGGGATTACAGGCGTGAGCCACTGCGCCCAACCGAGAATGTGCATTTCTAGCAAGCTCCCAGGTGAGGCTGGCCCAAGAACCACAATGTGGGAATCGCTGGGCCTGACAGCCAATCCCAATGGAGCCTTCAGTACCAAATACTGAGATCTGAAGGGGTTTGCCCTGCCCAGCCTCCCTATACCTGCCCCATTACCCTCCCCCTATCCCCAACATCTCCCACGTGGTCCTGGCCCAGGAACCTGAAGGATTTCCAGGATCTTCAGCTTGGTCTCCATCACCACAATGTCCTCATTCTCCTCAAACTTGCTTCTGTCCAGCGGCTCAGCAGCACTGGCCCCAGCAGGCAGGCTGGGGGCACCGAAGACTGACTGCTTGCGGCTCAGCACCATGGTGGACATCATGTGCCCCACGCCCTGGATGGACCGCCGCACATTCTTGCCTGTGGAGCGGGGAGTACAGGAGGTTGCTGAGGAGGTTGTAGAGGGTGTATAGCAGGGATCCCTGGTCTGATGAGGGAGGCAGAGGGTGCACATTCTGTTTGTGTCAGCTGCAGGCAAAGCCTTGCTAAGGAAGGGACAGGGCTAAACCAGGAAGGCTTCCTGGAGGAGGGGAGCTTTAAGCCAAATCTGGGGAAAGAAGGAGGTGTCAGGGCAAAGGTGAGCTGTGTGGGGAGATGACTGAGAATTGTCTGTAGGAAACCATAAGAGCAGCTACACAGCCTGGGGACTGAGGGGACACTGCAGGGAGGACAGCCCTGAAAACAGTACCAGGCTCTAGGCACCTTTTGTTTAGATGAGTTTATGCAGCCTGGGAGTGTCTGGGAGGGCAGGGCTGCCGCTCGCTCATCCCTCAGACAGGCTGTGCCTCCCTCCTCCTCATACACACAATGACAGGGCTGTCTCGCTCCTCCCTCACTATCTCCCCTCAAGACCAAGCAGGGTTGGAAGGCAACTCCCCCAGACCCGGCGTCTCCAGGGAGTCCGGGCTGGGACCCCTCTGGTCTCGCTGAGGTGGGAGAGGCTTGGGCCCAAGATATCCCCTTGAGGCAGAGCCAGGTTGAGTGGGGGGAATGCGGGGCTGGGGAAGGTGTTGATCTGAGGGAACTTCCTGTGCTAGAAGGAGGCTGAGGACCGCCAGGGTGGCCCAAGCCGGGCAAAGGCCTCACCGCCGGGGTCCTCATAGGCCTGCAGCATGGCCGGGGGCCCCTGCACACAGTCGATGATGCCCAGCAGTGTGCGAGTGAGCCGCAGCAGCTCGCTGAAGCTGTAGAAGCCGAAGTAGATGAGGTTGTGCGCCAGGCTGACCACCTGCGGAGGGGCGGGGCCGAGGTGAGGTGGGTGGGGCCGGTGCGCGGGGGCGGGGCTTCGTGGAGGGCGGGCCGGGACTGGGGAAACTTCGTGGAGGGCGGGCTGGGACTGGCGAAAGGGGCATCATGAGGGCGGGGTTCCCAAGAGGGACAGCGGAGCAGGGAGAGGCAGCCCTTTCCCATGCATTGGATCAGCAGCCTGCCTCTTGGAGAATCCCAGCCTTCTATACGGTACCCCTGCACTGGCTGGGGACACAGAAGGAAGTGGGGGGATCCCACAGCCGATTCCTGGGTGCAAACTGAGGCCAGTGTAGGGCCAACCAGAGCCCCACGGACCCCAGCCCCTGGGCACTCCCCCAGCCACCTCAAAAGTGAGCTTGTTCTTCTCCTCGTTGGCAAAGGGCACAGCCTCGCTGACCACATTGTTGAGGTAGTCCTCCACGAACTCCATGGTGTTGGCAAACTTGTTCTTCTTGTCATCTCGGGACGCGTTGAGGTTGGAATCATAGCTGAGGGTGGAGGCCATGAGGCATGAAGGTCCCTGAGATGCACCCACCCCAGCCTCTACCCCTGCCCCGCCCACCCTGCCTCCACCCCTCTCACTCCTTGATGGTGATGGCTGTGGGGATCTCAGTCCAGAGACGGGCAAACTTGACCGGCGTGACCAGCTCCTGGGGGTCGCGGTCCACATGCACGTGCAGCATCAGGTGGCAGAAGGAGGCACGCAGGTCAAAGGGCAGCATCTCGTCCGCCATGCACAGGAAAATCAGGTCCACACCCAGCTGCTGGGAGATCTCATCGATGGCCAAGTACTGGCGGTCCAAGCACATGCGGGCAAAGAGCTTCAGCTGGTACCTGCAGGACAGGGAGGACGGTGAGGACACGGCAGATGGCAGCCGCAGGGCTGCTGGCACTGGGCACTGGACTTGGTGAGGACTCAGTAAAATGGCAAAGGGATTAGGTTAAAGATGCACCAGCTGCAATTCTGAGTTAGAAAGGTGAATGGAAAACCTGTCTGTGATGACGAGTACTTGCAATTCTCCCCCTCCTGGCTAAGACTCAGCCAGGACAGGTTTTTATGGGAAGAGGGACGTCTGAGAGATGAGGGAAAGGGTGAGAGACAGGGGAGGGCAGTGAGGTGAGAAGAGCCAGCCTTGGCCAGGAAGGGTGAGGGCAAGATGGGAGAGAGAGGACAGGGAAGTGGGTAGGTGGTGAAAGGGGTGTGACCTTGATGGAGGGGATACAAAAATGAGGAACGTAGGAAGCTCTGTGCTGCCCTGGCAATACCAGGCCCTCTGCCTCCTCCTCACAGACATGACTTCCCAGGGGCTCTGGAGTTGGACAGCCTGGGTGTGGGCCATGGCTCACTGCTGATGGCTGTGTAACCTCAGGCAAGTTCCTTTACCCCTCTGTGCCACTGTTTCCCCAGTTTTACAACAGGAGTAACTATAGTAGCTACAAGGGTTGTCATGTGGCTCAAATGAGGGATCAGGACAAGTGCTTTAAAAGGGGACTACTACGTGGCAAGCATTTAAGAAGGGAGTCTAAAGAGATTTTTTTTTTTTTACTTTTTTTTTTTTTTGAGATAGTCTTTCTCTGTAACCCAGGCTGGAGTGCAGTAGTGTGATCTTGGCTCACTGCAATTTCCACCTCCCAGGTTCAAGCGATTTCCATGCCTCAGCCTCCCGAGTAGCTGGGACTACAGGTGTGTGTCACCATGGCCAGCTAATTTGGTGAGGTTATTTTAATAATACACATGTTTGGAAACAGGTTGGGTTTCTTGGAAGCCTAGTTCCTGTGCTGCGCCACCCAGTGCTATTGGGGGCACACAGTCCTCTTCACTCAGACTTCCTGGAATGAGGCTGCATGGCAGGGGAGTGACAGCAGGGACGCCTCTTCCGAGGAGGCAGGAGCCCCACCTGAGGCTGTCAGAGCTCATCCTCAGCAGGGATTGGCCAACAGCCTACTGAGAAGGCTCAAAGGCACCGGAAGAGGGGGGAGGAGCTGGGGCGGGGCACCTGTAGTAGCTGAGCACATTCTCGTCGTGGGCGTTGCCGGCCCGCGCCTCCTGGGCCAGCTGCCTCACACTCTTCTCATGGTGCTCGTTATTCTTGTCAGTCCACGTGAGCCACACTTCCTCGTCTGAGTACTCGATGCTCAGGTACTCGTGGGATTGGGCCATCTCCTTCACGGGCCGAAGTCTGCAGACCACCAGCAACCTGTCACAGGGAGCCACGGCCAGGGCGCTACGCCTGGACCCCTCCCTGAGCACACCCGGCCGCACAATGCCAAACACCACAGGGACCCAGACAGACCATGTACATCTCAAGGGCAGGGTCCATGGCTCATTCTTTTCTGTGCCCCTTCCCCACTCCCCCACCCCGCCCCACAGTGCCAGGCACACAGCAGGACACATAAGAGGCAGAGAGTTCACAGCTGCAGAGAGCAAGGATGCCAGCTCCAGCCTGAATCCAGACAGGGCCTAAGCTCTAAGACAGCTGGGCGCCAGCAACGTGGAGCCCAAGTGCGGGCAGGGGGCGCAGGGCTCACTCTGTCTGGATGAGAATGTCACTGTTCTTGGGGTCCAGCACACATTTGCAGATGAGCTCCTGGGTGACGGGGATGGCAATGTGGTTGGACACACACAGGTCAGAGAGGTAGTCCAGGAACCTGGGGTGGTGACAGCCAGGGGTGGGGAGAGGGTCTCAGAGGCTGGTCCCTCTAAGGACGGAGCCCACCCTTCCCTTTCTCCTTCCCCAGCTGGCAGCACTGCCACCCTGGGACTAGCTCCCTCTCAAGGCTTAGAGATGGGTGGGATGGACTCTCAGGTCCCCAAGGAGGAAGAGCCCCAGGGCATCATCCTGGAGTCCGGGAAGGCTGGATGGGAGTTCAGGGGGACAGGGTGAGGAGGCGCAAGGGCCAAGGTGATATTCAAAATATTTAACAACTGGTTCAATACAGGTTCTGACTTTGTTACTGGAGAAGGTCTTGGGGGCCTCTAGTGGTACTAGGAGTCATTCCCATTGTTGCTAGAGTGGGCCAAATTTGGGGGGATCCCAGAGAAAGGCTAGGGAGGCTAAGGCCTCAGGGGGGTGGCAGTTACCAACAGGTGCAGGAATAGTTCAGTATTCTCACAACCAGCAGACTTTCTACCCAGGCAAGGGAGGAGGGAGGGGCAGGCGCCGGTTGGGGAGGGGCTTCGGGCCCACCTGGGCTCCCGGTTCTTGCGCACAAGGCTGACGAAGGTCTCCACCTCGGTCTTGGTGATGTGCTTTTCCAGGAGCTTGCGATTGTTGTGCAGCAGGGCGGTGATGGTGTCCTCAGCCAAGATGTCATAGCCAATCTGGGACTGCATCATCCCAAACTGCTTGGCGATGTGCTCCTGGGGGGCAGACAGGCTGGGGGTCACAGAGAGTCACAGGCGGGCCACAGGGCCCAGCTCTGCTCTGGAACACTGCCCCCAGACCCCGAGATAGGGACCCAATACCCTAGAAAGGTGGAGGTCCGGGAGAGGAAGCATCACTGGGCAGAAGAGTGACTTAGATTACGTATTTAGCTCATGGGCTGTTTCCCACCAGAGCGAAACCTCCACGAGGGCAGGGACCTTGTTTGTGTGGAAGGATTGGCTACATAACTTGTCGGGCCCAGTGCAGAATGAAAGAGCAGGACCCTTGCTCAGCACGGAATCTAACCCAGTGCAAGGCCCTTGTGAGCAGTGGGCCAGGTCCCGTTCCCATGAACTCAGCCCTGCTGTCTGGTGCCCTACCGGACCCCAGACCCCAAAACAGTGCCTGGCACAGCACGTACGCCTGAGGAAATCACTTGCTGAGGAAGGAACACGTAGCCAGCGAGTGGGCCAGCGGGGCAGTGGCACACCTGGTTCTTGCGGTAGTCCTCCTGGGAATGCCGCAGCACACGGTAGCACAGACGGAACATATGCTGATAGGGGGCGTTCTTCTGGTCTGACAGCTCCTCCAGCCGCACCAGGGGACCTTCACCCCCCTTCTCACGGAACGGGGCCTTCAGAATGCCAAAGATCTGGGGGAACACGGAGGGTGAGGACTGATTGCCCAACACCTGTCTGCATCCTGAAGTTATCCCAGGAGTCATCCCTGAGCCCCGACTGACTCTGCCCTAAAGCCAGCCCAGACATCGGCTTCGAGCTGATTCTAAGCTGGACCGCAACCCCAGACCAGCCATCCTCAGCCCCAATTCCAGCCCCAGCTCTCTCTACTCCTTGTTGGAATCCCGAAGCTGACCCCAGCCCATCCCTCCCTGATGCAGATTCTAATCCCAGCTCAGATCTGGGGCCTGGGGGAAGAGCAGAGGGTCTCGGCAGCTCAGGGTCTGAGGCTAAGAGAAAAGGCAGGCAGGGCCGCTGTGGCCAGAGCTTAAGAGATGAGACACAGGCCTGCCTTGTCAAAGTAAAATGTTACATAATTACAAAAATGTTTTAAAGGTTGGGGCTGGGTGGAGAGGTGAAAAAATTGTTCTGAAACAGAGAGCAAAGTGACAGAGCAACAGAATGGAATGAAAAAACCTTGGCCGGGCGCGGTGGCTCAAGCCTGTAATCCCAGCACTTTGGGAGGCCAAGATGGGCGGATCACGAGGTCAGGAGATCGAGACCATCCTGGCTAACACAATGAAACCCCGTCTCTACTAAAAATACAAAAAACATTAGCCGGGCGTGGTGGCGGCGCCTGTAGTCCCAGCTACTTGGGAGGCTGAGGCAGGAGAATGGCGGGAACCCGGGAGGCGGAGCTTGCAGTGAGCCGAGATCGCGCCACTGCACTCCAGCCTGGGCGACAGAGCGAGACTCTGCCTCAAAAAAAAAAAAAAAAAAAAGAAAAAACCTTAACTGGATCCTCATTTAAAAAAAAAACAAGCTTTACAAAAACATTCTGGGAACATTAGAGAAATGTGATATGGACTTGGTATTGTTGTGATTTTTTTAGGTGTGAGCATGTACTATGGTTATATAAGGCAATGTCCCTATTGTAATAGGGATGCCTGCTGAAACTTTTGGGTGTAAAATGCTGCCTATTTTGAAATGTGTGGACGGAAACATGGATGTGTGAATAGAGCTACATAAAGCCAAGGCAGCAAAATGGTGAGGCACCTTGTTCCCTGTACTATTCTTCCAATACTTTCCCAATATTTGACGATTCTCATAATAAAAAAATTGTTAAACATTTTTTTGAAGCACAGCTCTGGACCCAACATCCTGAGCTCAAATCCCGTCCGCCACTTCCTAACTGTGAACCCTGGGCCAAGCGACTCTGGCCTGTGTTTCAGCTTCTTCACCAGTAAAACAGGGTAAGAATCACGGTGCCTCCTGCAGGCAGTGAGGATCAAATTCGTCAACACATGTGGGGTACTTAGGGAAGTGCCTGGCACGTGGTCGTGCCCCATATATACTGGTTTTTGTTAAAGTAGGGGATGAGCCTGCAGTTCAAGGCATCCCTCTCCTGGCACCCGGCCCTTCCGCGTCCCCTCATGAGTACACACGCACCTGTTTGAGGATGTTCTGCTCCCTCATCAGCTTCTGCCGTTCCCGGTTGGGCTTGGTGACCATGATGTCCAGGACATTCTGCCCATTGTTGGGGACATCACTGACAAAGAACACCAGGTCTTCCAGCAGCTGGATGACAAACCTGGGTGAGGGTACCCGGGGATGACGAGTGTGAGATGCCCACCCAGCAGGTGCCCCTCGTGGGGAGCCAGTCCCTCCCAAAATATGGCTTTCCTGAGTTCACTCAGCGGCCCCCAAAGCATAAAACCCATCCTCAGCCTACAACTCCTCTCCCCGGCTTTCCCCTGAAATACTCTCCAAACACGCCCAGCCCCACCCACCCTGGATTTCAAAGTGGCCCCAAGACACAGAATCTCAGAATATCCCAAGCTGGAAAGGAAGTGCAGGGCACAAGGCGGGGAGTCTGGTGTGAAGGGGGCTGCATTTGCATCCTGACTCTGCCACTTACTAACTCTGTGACCCTGGGCAAGTCTCGTAACCTGTCTGAGCCTCAGCCCCGTCATCAGTAAAGCAGGGCTAAGTGGCCTTGAGACCATGCTCAACACAGTAACCAGCTCCACCATAGGGTTAGTTCTGGGAGTACTTGAGCTGTGAGGCACCCAACTCCTGGACCCAACTCCAGGGTCCCAGGCTCAGCCAGGGCCCCACAGGGGCCAGTCCCCCACTATCTCCCCAGTTTGCCTGACTTCTGCTTCATGACTCCTTTCTTCATGAAATGCAGGCCCTGGGAGGGCAAGATCACTCAGAAAACCTCTGTGCCACTGCAGCCCACCTGCGGTCATTCTGGCTGATGAAGCCCTCATTGAGTTTCTCCACGGCGCTGGCCAGCATGGAGCTGGCATCATTGGCAAAGTCCAGGTCTCGGATCTCGGACACAGGCACCGACACAATGGCAAAGGCCTCCTTGTCTTCCTTAGTGGGGCAGGTGCCCAGCTGTAGGGACAGGGGTCAGCAGGGCACCTGGGAACAAGCACCGGCCCTGGCCCCAGCCCCACCCCCACCCCTAGGGACCCGCACCATGAGCCGGATGGGCCGCTCCTCCTCGATGTCAATGGGCACATTGGTGCTCTGGATCCACGTGTTGGTGCAGAGGTGCCGCAGCCGGACGTACGAGTTCCTGCAGGCGGGTGGGAGGGCAGGGACTCAGGGAGTGCACCACGGAGTGCGTCCTGCTGCCTGCCGGCCTACCTCCCCAACACTGCCATAGTTTCCACCCTACTCCACACCCTCAACAGCTGTGGGACAGGGGCCACTGGTGCCCCTCCAGATAAGGAAACTGAAGTCAGAGAAGAACAGCCAGAGCTAGCCCTGCACCCAGGCCCCGTCCTGACCACTGCACTAACACGGGCAGCCTTGTCCATGCTTCCAAAACCAAAACTTGTTTGTACACTTGGGACCAAAATTCATTTGGACAAATGAGGCTATTTAACTATTTATCCCATTGAATTTCAAGATGCACACATTTCATAGAACACATGCATTACACAGAAATACTCAATGTCTATGATTACAAAATACAAGTTTACCTTTCTAAAATGAAAAGCAATCTGAATACCAAATCCATCTGCCTCCGAGAGTTTCAGGGAAGGGACTGTGGGCCTATGTCGTGACTCAGTTAACTCTCCCATTAGCCCTGTTAATAGGGAACCTTGATGTTCCCACTAAAATGACGGAGGCAGAGTGAGTAGCAGCCTGAGGGCATACAGCTTAGGACACACCAAAGCCTGGATTGACACTTGAGAAGTTTCTTGATGTTCTGTCCTAGAATCTCAGAGTTGGTGGGAACTCAAAGGCCAGAGAGTCTGGCCTCCCCATCCAGTGTTTGGGTTCCCCATGCTGCTGTGTCCTAGACAAACTGCCATGTAGCCTGTGCTTGAGCACCCAGACCAACTGGGGCAGGCGCTGGGCACGCGGCAGCCATGCAATGGTGGTCAGCCGCCAACAGACCTGAGAGCTGGATCCCCTGAGGGATGGGACCTGCAGAGAACCCAGAGGCCAAAGGACCTCAGGAGGGAGGAGGAGTGAGGAATCCAGAGAGTCCCAGAGATGGGAGGGCGCAGCCTGGGCACCACCAGCCAACCCCAGGCACAAGGCGCATACCCACCGGGGCACAAAAGAGTCGGTTTTCTGCAAGGTGGTGGGGTCCAGCTCAAAGAGAGAGGCAATGTCGTTGCCATGAGGAACGGCCACCAGGCGGTACTTGATCTTCTCCCCAGCATTCCTGCGGCCTGCACGGCCCTGGGCCCCCTGGGTGAGGACCCCAAGTCAGGTAGAAAGCCCTACCTCCTTTCAAGCCCCCGAAGCACCTGGGATCCCATCTGAGGGGCCGTCTCCCTTCAGCCCCCCTCCCAGGGTTTCACAGCCTCTCCTGCCCCCGCCTACCCCCAGGGCAGGCCCATGGCCTCACTGGAGACCTGCTTTGCTCCTCACCATTCCTGTTGCCTTGGGATCCGAGGCATCACCTTTGTAACTGGGGTTCTCCTGGACAGAGATACAAGATGCAGGGGAGCTACTGGACACCAAACTATACCCACACGACTCCACTGCAAAACATAGTCACCTACATAGGGCCCTGGGTTTGGGCAGGCAGCCTCCACCCCCCAGGGGTGCCCATATCATTCCAGGGGAGCCCTTCATGGCCCCTCTCTATAGAACCACAAATGAACACACATACACACCAATGCCCCAACACACACAAATGTGTGCATTACAGACACATGGGAAATTTTGCTCACTCTGTATCCCCAGTGCCTAGGATAGTGCCTGGTACATAGTAGGAACACAGTGATATTTATTAGGCTTCTTTACAGTCATGCCTTTATTTAATAATATTGGATAAATGCATGAGTGCAAAGAAGTCAGGGTCCATAGGCACATGTGCCACATATTCAGATATGTGCACACACGCTCCCGCACACCCACGTGTACATGCACACAACATGAGCCCCAGGATGCCCTCTGCCTCCCGCTCACCTCAGCAGCCAGGTAGTTGCCCGTGGCCAGGTGCTTGAAGCGGTACAGGCCATTCCAGTGCCCAGCTCCTCCACGGCAGGGGTCGTGGTGGACCACCTGGGGGCATGCAGGTGTGAGGCAGGAAGGAGAGACTGGCCAGGCATGGGGAGTCAGACCCCGGGGAGGCCTGGAGATCTCTGGGTAGGTGGGTTCTGGACCCTCCCTGGCCTTTTGACTCTGGAGGCGCTCAGAGGGAGGAAGGGGTCAATATCCCACCCTCCAGGATGGTGGGGAAGAGGGAGAGGTGACATCCAGGGCTAAGTCCAGGGTGCCAGAAGCAGGGCTCTTCTGACCTCCACCTCCCAGAGAGCATTGGAGCTGGTGGCCGAGGTGGCCGACTGGCGCAGTGTGGTTCTCAGGAACACCTGCAGCTTGCCCTTGTACTCGTCACAGGTCAGGAACTTCTCCTGCTCCGCATGGAACAACCGCACCACGTCTCCCTGCAGGCAGCAGGGTGTGGCTCAGGATGGCTGCGGCCCCTCCAGGCTCAAGGACCCACCCAAGGCCCAGCCCCACTTGCCTCAGACAGGGGTGGCTGCTGGCAGGGCCCCTCTTCCAGAGCTGGCACACAGAGAGGGGGCTGCAAGCTGAGCCCCCCTAGAAAACAGCCAGAGCCCAGGCACTCTGCCCTCAGCCCACATCCCAGACCCCAAATCCAGAGCTCTCCCAGGCCTTCCCATGTTCAAACCCACCCTGGACCGCCTCCCTCCCTATCTGTGCCTCTAGACACCCTGCCTAACCTCTAACGGCCCATCTCCAGTCACCCTCTCCATGAAGGAGGGGGACCTCACCCCCTCAGTCTTCCCAGAGCCATGACTGCCCCTCTCTCAGGGTCCCTTCTGCCTAAATATTGGTAGGTTGTGCCCATTTCTTTTGCTCCCCTGTCGGATAGGGGCAGCATGGAGGGCATGTCCATGGCTTTGGACACAGATACTACGTTTGGATCCTGTCTCTGCTTTTTTTTTTTTTTTTCAGAGACAGTCTCACTCTGTCACCCAGGCTGGAGTACATGGCACGATCTCAGCTCACTGCAACCTTCGCCTCCTGGGTTCAAGCGATTCTCATGCCTCAGCCTCCTGTATAGCTGGGACCACAGGTGCGTGCCACCACGTCCGGTTAATTTTTTTATTTTTAGTAGAGACGGAGTTTCACCATATTGCCCAGGCTGGTCTCGAACTCCTAAGCTCAGGCAATTCACCCGTCTCAGCCTCCCAAAGTGCTAGGATTACAGGCGTGAGCCACTGTGCCCAGCCTGCCTCTGCTCTTAAAAGTTGTGTGACCTCAGATAAGTTCCTTAACATGTCTGAGCCTCAGTTGCCTCTTCTGTAAAATGGGAATACTATGACCTCCTTGCAGAAATTGTGAGGATTATAATATGCATGATGAAGTCACACTGCACACTTACCGCGTGCCAGCCACTGTGCAAGCACTTGTAAGCTTTCTCACCCAATCCTCACACCAACTCTCTGGGTAAATACATCATTAGCCCCATTTTATGGGTGGAGAAACTCAGGCATAGAGAAGGTAAGTATCCTGCCGAGGGTCATGCAGCTAATGGCAAATGGGACATGAATCTGTGGCCCAGTTCCAGGGCCTACACCTTCATCATTCCATCACCTTCCTCCTGCTGAGACCCTGCCGCCCAGCCGGCACTCAATGCATGGCTGCCACTCTTGCTATCATCACTAACGGCATTTTCTGTCTTCTCTCCACTGAACACACACTAGACACAAAGCATTCAGTGAATACCTGCAGAGTGAATGCAGCAGTGAATGCAAGAATGCATGAATGAATGACGATACCCAGATTGGTCAGTTACTATGGCAGAACCTAGTGACTTCTGCGCCCCAGAAGCGCAGGGCAGGGGCAAAAAAGCAGTGGACTTAGCACCAGAAAGCCTTGCTTCTGAGCTGCCTTGGAACCATGGAGCCATGGCGGATTCCCCAGAAATAATCCTATGTAGACCACAGAGTGAGGCCCAAGTGATGCTTCATTTTATTTGTTTGTTTGCTTGTTTGTTTTTTTGAGATGGAGGCTCGCTCTGTCGCCCAGGCTGGAGCGCAGTGTGGTGCAATCCTGGCTCACTGCAACCTCCACCTCTCAGGCTCAAGTGATTCTCCTGCCTCAGCCTCCTGAGTACCTGGGATTACAGGTGCCCACCGCCACACCCCGCTAATTTTTGTATTTTTAGTAGAGAAGGGCTTTCTCTATGTTGGCCAGACTGGTCTTGAGCTCCTGATCTCAAGTGATCCACCCGCCTCGGCCTCCCAAAGTGCTGGGATTACAGGCGTGAGCCTCCCCGCCCAGCCAAGATGCTTCATTTCCTAAGTGCTGCACAGATTCGGGGCTGGAACTTTAGGGAAGGCTTCTGGGAGGGGTAGTGCATGGCTGGACCTTGATTAATGTGTGGACGATGTGCAGACTTAAGGGTGGGAGGGAGGGAGGGAGAAGGCATTGGGGCAGGGCATGGGTGGACGGGAAGCAGCCCAGGAGGTAAGAAGGATGAGGAGGGCGGGGGACTGAGGCAGCCTGAGCACGGCAGGGGAGTCTAACAGAGCGGCTCAGCGAGGGGAAGAGGGCAAAGGGAGCCACTGCAGGCTTCTGAGCAGGGAGGTGCATGAACACGCAGCCTCCTTAGGTTGCTGCTCTCGGGCCTGTCACCTGTCCCTCTGACAGGTTTCACAGCTGGATGTTCCTACCTGCTCCCCTAGCTGGACAGCCTCACACTCTACAAATCTGCCCTCCCTGCCCTCCCTCTGCACCCCGTCTGCTGGTTCCATCCCCTGCAGCCCCACCCAAGAGACATCTGAACTCTCCTCTCGCCCACATCTGGTGTTTAGGTTTTCTTGAATGGTCTCTCCGGTGGCCCCAGACAGCTCCCTCTGCCCTCAGTCCTGGATCCTCCTGAAGTCTTCACTGCAGTATTTCCCAGGCCCCCCTTCTCTCCCAGAGCTCACATCAGCATGTTTGGGACCAGGAAGAAGACAGGCGGTGACCCCTAACTCAGCAGACAGGGCAGCCTCACTCCCTCGCCAATGAGGGCACAGGGCAAGGGGCAGGGGGCCTGGCATGGATACAGGCAGCAGGAGTCGGGGAGAGGATGGTGCTCAAAGGCTCTGGGTGGGGGGGATGGAGACCCCCAGTCCACTGACACCCCCTTAAACAAGAGAGAAAACAGACCGGGCAGGACCCAGGGAGGATGGAGAAGGGGGCTGTGGCCAGAGACGAGAGAAGTGGCAGTCCTGGTAGGGCCATGTGGGTGGGGCCCTATGGAAGTGGAGGGAGGCTGGGGGGTGCAAAGCTGGGGAGAGTGTAAGGGCCTGAGGCCTGGTGAGTGGAGAAGGCAGGAAGAGGACCCTGGTGGGGAGGGCTGGGTGGCCAACTGGGCAAGGCAGGGGTTCCCAGTCCTTACCCCTTTCAACACCTCCTCCAGGTGGTCCCGGAACTGCATAAACAGGTTGATCTTCCAGCTGGTGTTGCAGTTCACAGAGTTGACCTGGGGAAGGGTGACGAGACCTGTGTTGCCAGGCAGATCCCAGCCACTGAGGGCCCAGAGCAGGGCTGAAAGGAAGAAGCAGCCCAGCCACCGTTATAGCACAAGGACAGGGTGTCTTCTCCCAGGCAGGGTCCCCAGACCCCAGCCCAGCTACCTTGGGGCCACCAGCCTGTGGGGTGGAGAATGAGGGCAGCGTTGGGAAACGGATGCAGGAGCCATGAGGCCCAGCTTGTCCAGCGGGCCAGATGGGGCTGGAGGCAGAGACTATGGCAGTGAGCGGGGTGTCTTCACCACCAGGGGTGTGTGAACGTCCCTGCACTGCCTGGCTGACCCCCGACCCCCTCACCTCCTTGCAGCCGGCATTATCGCTGAGTTCGTAATTGCTGGCATGCAGAGGCTGCCCGGCGTTGACAGGATTCAGGATCACCTTGTCCCCCACGACCACCTGAGCAGACAGGCAGGACAGGTTAGGTGGGAAGGGCAGGGCCCTCCTGTCGCCACACCTCCAGGCCTCCCTCGGGTCTCAGTCTGCCCTTCTAAGAAATGGGCATGACCTTATCCAGTCCCCACACCGAAGACCCTACAGAAACCCCTCTGGAGTTCCACCAGGCCCCTCCAAGCCCGGCCCTGCCCTCACGTTGTCCCCATTGCTCCGCAGCTTCCAGAAGGGCTGGATGAAGAGCCAGGAACCCTCGTTGCCTGTGGCATCCAGGGTCACCCGCATGGCGTTCTTCTCCAGCAAGGCTGGAAGCCGCTTGTTCACCGTCAGGTACTTGTTGCTTTTCATGTGCAGGAGCTGGGGGTCAGGTGGGTGCGGAAAGGTCACCGGGCCCCAGGGGGCGGCCATCAGGGAGGGGATATGGGGGGATGCCCTAGACCCTTGGTCACACCCTGGCTGCACACACAGTATCAGACACCTGTCACAAACACACAGGCCGACACCCACAGCCACAATCACACACAAACATGCACACAACAGGCACACCCCCATGGACACCCTGGTGATCACAAGAAAGAAGCTGTTCTAAATACTTTACATAGATTAGCTCAAGTAACCTACAATGATCCAAGAGGGAAGCACTATTACTGCCTGATTTCACAGATGGGGAAACCAAGGCACCAGGGAAAGTTAAGTAACTTGCCCAAGTTACACCATTAGGAGTAGCAGAGGCAAAATTTGAATCCAAACAACATGGCTCCAGACTCCATGCTGATGGTCACCATGCCATAAACACACCCATGGCACGACTACTGAGGCCACACAGCAACAGACACACACAAAGTCAGACACACAGCCACACAGGCCCCAGGGCCACTCATTCACCCAGGGACACACATGCACAGAGGGCAATGCCTGCTGGCAGCCCTCACCTGGCACCAGCCCAGCCTGTTAGGCAGGGAGAGGGACAGGTGGGAGAGAGGTGGGCCAGCCTCACCTGGATCACACTGCCATACTTCACGACATCCCCGTGCACCTTCTTGTTCTCCGTGTCGTTTTGCTTCTGCTCCATTTGGGCCGCGTGCTGGGCAGACACACACAGAAGTGAAGGGTGGGCTCAGAAGCTGCTCCTAGAGGGAGACATGCCCCAGCCCCACACATGCATGCACACATGCACACACACACACACACACACACACACACACACACAGAGTCACCTTGGACTCCAGGACCCTTTGGACCCCTGCCCCAGCTCTTAGTGCTGCACCCAGAGTGCAGAAGGCAGCCTGAGGTCTCACAGCACACACAGCCCAGGAAGCCAAATCCCTACACCTCCCCAGCCACCTCCCCTGGAGAGGGCATGCCAGCAGCACCTTGAGCATCCCCGGCAATCCCCTTACACCCCCAGGAACCTAAAGCTGTGTCTCACCACCTACCCTCATCTCACCAGACTCCCAAAGCCCCAGACACGGGACCCCTGTCCCAGTCCAAACCCTGGCAGGGGCTGCTTGGTGCCATTTCCTGGCTCCCACCACCACCCCCACTCCTCTGCAACCTTCCCTCCCAAAACTGTATGCATTCAGCCCACTGCCTCCAGGCAGCCCTCCCTGACTGGTCACATCCCACTCTGATGGATCCAATGCTGGTGGCCTTGAGGATTTGGTCTACATCCCATTAGAGACAGCTTTTTAGGCTCTTCTGTCCCCTGTTAGACTGGAAGCTGCCTAAGGATAGCTGCCCTGTCTCCTCCACCAGATTAGGGGTTCCTGGAAGGCAGGAGCCCTGTCCCCTCCATCAGACTGGCACTCTCTGAGAGCAGTGGTCTCTGCCCTTTCCTCCTCCTCAATCCTTTACTGAGACCAAGGCGAAGGTGGCAGCTCGATAGCCTTGCCATGGACCATGTGACTTTCCACAAAGTAACAGCATGTAGCTGTGTGACTGCTTGAGGTTCTGATTATGTGGCTCTGCATAGGTGAATGCCCTCCCGCCAGGCCAGATCCCCAGCTCAGCCTCTACCTGCCGGCAGCGGGAAGGAAGCCTGTGGCAGCCCCCACCCCAGGAAGAGAGCTGGGGTATTAATACCAGAGCTCAGGCAGTCCACCTGCAGCTCCCTCTCTCCAGCCCAGTTCACAGCTATAGGGCGTAGCCCAATGTCCCCATTCTAGACCCACCTCCTCTGGGCATGGGGCTTAGGGGAAGGGGACAGAGGGAAGCAAGGTTTGTATGACAAGGGGTGGGGCAACAGGGCCCAGGGCCCAGGCTGCAAAGTTCCTGACCACAGCCCAAGCCTCCCACTCTCTTTGTGGTTTGGGGAATGGGGCTGGGACCCGGAGATCTGCCCAGGATGTGAACTGAGCCACTGCCTACAAGGGGCTCATAAGCGACCACCACATCCCAGCATCATGGCACAATCCACATGTCTGAGGAAGCCAGGGTGAGTCAGAGACCTGGGGGCCATCTAGGCTGTACTGCAGACTCACAGGATGACCATGGACAGACCAGTCCCATCTAAGGGCCCCAGGCTCCAACTCTATAAAACAAGGGGAGAGATTAAGACTAGATCCAGGGCTCCCAAATTGGATTCCCCAGAGCCACTGTCTCCACAAGCCACTGGGAACTCCATGGACAGCTGTACAGGTTGTTCACTGCTCCGTGGTGTCGGCATTCCACTCTCTGAGCCACGCAACCTGGCATAGGGCTGTGCTAGCCTGGAAGAAGGGACACTTTCTTCCCACTGACACAACATAGTTATACAGACTGGTGAGTCACTGGGAAGGGACCCTGCTCCCCCTACATCCACTCCTTCACAGCAATTCACACCAACCTCTTGCATATTGGAATTTATTTTTTTATTTTTATTGTTTATTAATTTTTTGTAGAGATAGGGTCTTGCTATGTTGCCCAAGCTGCTCTCAAACTCCTGGCCTCAAGCAATCCTCCTGCCTCGGCCTCCCAAAGTGCTGGAATTACAGGTGTGAACCGTCACACCTATGCAAGTTTTAGAAACCACTCAGTTCAGCCACAGAGCCCCTACTGGCTCCAACAAGCAGCGCCGCTGTTTGTGTACCCAGGCTCCTGGTACATGTGCACAGATGCATGCCTGCACACACACACATACCTGCAGCTTCTGCAGCAACACCACATCAGCGATCTTCTCCTTGTCCTGCTTGGTCTGCTTGGCCTTCCAGTACTGCTTCTGGGCCGAGTAGCGGTTCATGGGGCACACCTTGAAGAGGCAGTCTGTGGTGGGGCAAGTGGGGGGTGAGGGGAATGGTTCATCTGGGGCTCAGGGCCCTCCCTAGAGAAAACCCCAGCCTGCAGCTCTGCTCTCCCAACCTTTCCCCATTCCCGTTCCCCGCTGCAGGAAGACAGGAAGCAGGTGGAAGAACCTCATAAAATTTGGAGCATCCCGGAATACGCTGAGTAGAATGGGGAGGCTCAGACGTGGGTTTGAGAGCAGTGCATCTCACTTGGTGGGGTGCCCTCTTCCCCTGGGAGATGTACCAGAGGCTGCTGGGGCCTCACCCTTATGCCATGTCTCTGCCCAGCTTCTGTGAGTATTGGCAGCTAACAGCTCACATCTGCATCCTCCTTTAGCTAATTGCCTTGGCCGATGGAAACCATCTTGCACACAGATGCCTGGGAAATGGCATACCCCTCTCCCCAGGGGCAGCCCCTATCCAGTAACTGACACAGGCACAGAACAGCCCAGCCTCTGGAACGGACAGTCTGAGGAGCAGCTCACAGTCCCGAGCTCCCCATGGGGTCAGGCTGAGGCGCATCTCCCCCTGAAACCACACCCTTGCTCAGCTTCTTCCCTTGCCTATACAGAGAGGAAGAGGCTCCCTTACTGTGTTCTCCTGAGAACTTCCTCAATAATTCACCCATCTTAGGCTCCGCTTCTAGGAATCTGACCTAAGACAAGGCAAATCCAAATTCCAGAAACACGTTCTCTAGTACAATTTTTATTTTGGCAAGTAGATAAAACAACTGTTATTCCCATAAGCCTAAGCTGCAGGAAGGGTGTCCAATTTTTCTGCTTATCCAAAGGAGGTAGGAGTTGGAAAAGCCTGTTCGAAAGCTTGGTAGGAGGGGAGGGAGGATTCTGGGTGCTGATGAGGGGCTGGTGTGGGTGACTGGGCCTGCGTGACAATAGCCTGGACTGCCCTGGGAAGCAGTGAGCTCCTCATCACAGGAGGGATCCACAGCCTGGGCACGGAGCAGGACTCAGTGGCCCTGAGACCCCTCTCATGCTGCAGCTGTGTGAGTCCCTGATTGCACAATGCTCCAACAGTGTGGAACAGAAGGGAGATGGTTATGCTGGGGGACTGGAGAGGAGAGAGCCACTGGAGGGTCCCAGAAACAAAACCCCTTCTTCAGGTCCTTTCCTGTTTCCTCTAAGAAAGCTGTGTCTTTTCTCTGGTCAAAGCCGGTCATCCAGTCCCAGGGATCAAAGAAAAACTGGATTTTCCGTCCAGTTCATAAGGAGGCAAAAGTCCCATGGGACCATTGAGAGTAGAAACCGAGTGAACCAAAGATGAAGGAAGACAGAACTTCCTGGAAAGGAAACAGAAAAATGGCAATTCCACAAGCAGATGGAGCCACCAAGGGCCGCCCCGCCCAGCCCCCCTCAGCACTGCCAGCATGAGTGGACATCACTTCCAAAAGAGCACTCAGTTTGTTGGAGAGAGTGTGTCTTTTTTTTTTTTTTTTGAGACACAGTCTCACTCTGTAGCCCAGCCTGGAGTGCAGTGATATGATCTCGGCTCACTGCAACCTCCATCTCCCAGACTCAAGCACTTCTCCTGTCTCAGCCTCCCAAGTAGCTGGGATTATAGGCATGCACCACCATGCCTGGCTAATTTTTGTATTTTTAGTAGAGACGGGGTTTCGCCATATTGCCCAAGCTGGTCTCGAACTCCTGGCTTCAAGTGATCCACCCACTTTGGCCTACCAAAATGCTGGTATTATAGGTGTGAGACACTGCGCCCAGCTAAGAGTATGTCTTTATGGGTTCGGGTCAACCCTCAAGAGGCGGCTGGGGTCCTCCTGCTTCTTCAGGCTGGGATGGCACTCCCAGGGCTTCCCCACGTCATTTTGTGGATCTCACTGCCTTGTTAGAGGTAGGCAGTTCCCAACAGAGTGGTGGGGAATGGGGCACACCAGGGAATGTTCCAGAAATTCACTGGGTAGGGAGTGATTTGGGCTGTACCACCAATTGTCACAGTAGCACTTAGTGAGCAGAACAGGGATGCTGGACGCCTGCACCACAGAGATTATCCTGGGTGATGCCTGATGGCAAATGTCCTGCCCACACGCATAGGTGGGCATCTATGAGCAGTGTTCTGGGCCTAGAGCTATACACAGAGGCACGAATTTTTTTTGCATGGATTTAGCAAACACTGAATTTTCCAGGAATGCAACTCCAATATAAACTGAGGGAAAGCTGCCCTTTGTGTTATTCAAATTTTCCCAGGAGTTTTCTGGTATTTCAGAAAATACATCACTCATGGCCACACCAAATGGGTGCGTGTGTGGCTGCCACACTCATGATTTAAAGGCAAGTGGGCTGGGCACAGTGGCTCATGCCTGTAATTCCAGCACTATGGGAAGCCGAGGCAGGAGGATCAATTGAGGCCAGGAGTTCAAGACTGGCCTGGGCAACATGGCAAAATCCTGTCTGTACAAAAAAAAATTTTTTAATAAAAAATTATCAACGGGCAGCAAGTGGTGGGAAAAAATAAAAATAATTTTAAAAAACAAAAAATCAGCCAGGCATGATGGTGTGCATCTGTAATCCCAGCTGCTCAAGAGGTTGAGGCAGGAGGATCGCTTGAGCCAAGAGTTCAAGACCAGCATTGGCAACATAGCGAGACATTGTCTCTACCAAAATTCAAAAAAATTAGCTAGGCATGGTGGTACCTGCCTGCAGTCCCAGCTACTTGGGGGACTGAGACAGGAGAATCACTTGAGCCTGGGAAGTCAAGGCTGCAGTGAGCCCTGATCATGCCACTGCACTCCAGCCTGGGCGACAGAGCAAGACTCCATCCCCAAAAATAAAAAATTAAAATATGGATATGGATAGATTGTATTATTTATGAATTCCACTGTATGTTTTTTGCTACCCTCACCAGACTCAGGGGTGGGCAGGCTAGCAGGGATTGGTACAGCTCATCACTGTTTCCCCAGCCCCTAACCTGGGCCTCAGCAAGCATCTGCCGGATGCATACATCAACCCAGAAATGACTTCCTCCTGTATAAAGAGGTAGGGTTTGATTTAACCTTGGAGGGAGGAAGAGGTTATGAGGCACACAACTGGAGGAAAGGGCAGGAGATGGGAGAGGATATGGTGCATCTGGGAACAGGACACAGGTCCCTCCTGGCAGGGGCAGGGAGCTCATGCAGGAAACAGGGGCCAGGCAAGGGAGGTGCTGAGCTGAGACCAGAGGGGCTAAGAGGTGCAGGGCCCTGTGTCTGAGCCCACAGGTCCCGGGGATTGTCAGCCACTTGGTCTCCACATGGCCCACCAGTCCCTTCGGCCCCTAGTCCAGACAGGAGAAAAGGCGGAAAGGGACAGGTACAGCCCCTAGAGCAGAGGTCTCAAGCTTTTCCGACCTCGACTCACCCAAGAAATAAAACTTAGATCATCACTGCTTAAAACAGCATGGGGACTCCCTGCCCCTGGTCTTGGTACCAGGCTCCAGGTCCGACAGGGCTGAGAACCATGGTGACCATCTATGGTGATAGAAAGCAACTAAAACAACGGAATTTTTTAAATGTGTGTTATGCTAAGACTTAAAGAATCGACAAGATGGTGAAGAATTACCCAACCAAAAGAGAAGACAGAAAGGAAAACAAAAGAGATATAGAAACACCCAGCTACTTTTGCCTTGAGGTGACTTCCTGATTCCCAACAGCATGGACTTTTATTTTGACAGCTTCTTCGTATCAGAGGTCCATGCCCAGGCCCACAGGAGGGGTCAACAGGAGATCGGGACCCTAAAGGGATACCGTCTCAGACAAGGGCTGAACTCACAGTAGAACAGCTCCTACCAGGAGCTAAAGATACCAGTTGGAATCCCCCAGATGGTTCAAGAAACCTCAAACTTGAGCTGGGCTTCAAGAGGGCTTGAACTGGTGAGACCCCCAGGAGTCTGGCAGAAGGAACAGCAGGGCCTTCCTGGAGGAAGGTACCTTCATCCTAGACTCAAACCAGACTTTTCAAATGCAATAACCAGTATATGCTCAAAGAAAAGCAGGAATCCTTGGGAACCAGACACCACGGGGAGAACAAGCCCACAAAATAGACGCTAAAAACAGACACGCGCAGAGACTTCAGACGCAGACAGCATCTGTAAAACAGATATGTCTTCTCTGCTTCAATCAATAAAAAAAAAGCTTCAAGATCCCTGCAGAGAACAGAAAACGATAAAAAAAAAAAAAAAAAAATGACACGGCAGAAGAAAAAAGAACCAAGTAGAACTTCTAGAAATAAAAAAAGCTTCAATAACCAAAATTTAAAACTCACCGGACATATTTAACCAGAGAATAGCTAGAGTTGAAGAAAGAATTAATGAAACCCCAACCGCCCTTATAGGGTGGATGCATTTCAATTCTATCCTATCCATTTCTGTCAATGATGGCTGAACCCATTCAAGTGACTTCACAGCCCACTAGCGGGTCAGATCCTGTGTCTGCATGACAAACACTGCCCCGAAGCATCCCCGGGAGAGCAATGAAGTCAGAAAAGAGCCCTCCCGGCTCCTGACTCCTCCGTATCTTTCTTGGAAACTTAATACCTGGAACTTGTGAGATTCAACTTTTTCTCTCACACTGATCCTCCCTCGGAGCCTTGCCCTCACATGCATGTGCCAGAAGATGCCAAGTGAATGAATAAACAAGTGGGTAGACTCGGGGCCCGTCGCCATACACATCCCATGCTTCTACTGCACTGTGCTCCTTGCCCAAAGGCAAGCCTGTCAGAACCCCAGAAGGGGCCTGAGCCTTCCTTGTCACTAAACCACAGGGCTGAAGGGCAGAGAGAAGGACAGGTAGCCAAGAGATTGGGCCCACACAGGAGTTGCAGTTTCAAAGGCCATGAGAAAAGGTGGAGGGTCCAGGGAGGTTTCCTTGTAAGGACTGTTGTGTTCCGGGGTGTGTACCTGTGGATGAAGAGGCACAGGGCTGGTGAGGCTGCAGACAAGAAGCTATTCATTTATTAAATAAGGTCAGTCAACATT